GGCGCCGAGCCGGGATAATGGTTTATGATCTGGGGAAAGGCATCACCAAGACTACCAGCTCAGAAAGATAAATCTGAGTTTAATTAGGATACGTTAAGAAGGGGGACATACAACGAAGCTGAAACAGGGCAACTTCATGGCATGTCTGTTAGCCTTAATTTGCTATGTGAGGTAACTTACCAGTGTAAAGACTATATTTCATGTTGAGGTTGACAGTGTTTCTATAATAAGTAAAACGTCCCAAAACTTCCATAAAGAAGGTTTATAAGGTAAAAGTGGTAACCTGAATATACTTAACGATAAAACAGGAATGATGAAATCTTCTCAGAATAAGTAATAGAAGTACAGAAAAGAAATATGGCAGCAATATAAAAATCTGGATTTGTAATGGCCATTTTTCACCGTTCTAGTAATACAACTGAAGTCACATAGGTAATGGAGAAACAGTCAGAACAGGAAAGTGGTAGGAAATATCACTAACTGCACATCATTTGCTCAGAAGCATTCACTTCCTAACAGCAAGATAAAACACGAGTTCTGTGAGAGGTTATTATAAAAAGATCTATGTTTATAATAAAATACAGTAGTTCCACTTACCTTCATAATCCCATAGTTCATTGAAAGGCTTTCCTGGTTCTCCAAGTGGGGCTGGAGGATCATTGAAAAATGGAGCACTAACTTCCATCATCACCCCCCTGTCACCTGGATTGAGCCTGACAAACACCGGCTCATGCTTCACGGGAAAGCCATCCCAAGTGTGTTCAATTTTAAAATTCATCTGAAGACTCTGAAGGAAAAAAAATATTAAAACAAACTCTTCAACAATATCTAAATGTTTTCTTCAATTAGAAATGAAATAAATATTTCAATGCTAAATAGCAGATAGGGGAGCAGCAGGTGACAAGAACATGGTCCTGAGAGGCCAAAGGCCATCTGTGTAGTGGCAAATCACAGAGTTTGTGTTCTATTCTAAAATAGGTAATTGGATCTTAGAAGCTTTAAAACTTTAAGTTTAGATTCAGCACTAATGTCCTTGTAAAGCATGTATCAAAATTTCTAAAAATTTAAGTCCATGGCAGAAAATTGTCAACATACTTAACTACAACCATAAGTTTACATGCCATACTTTGTCTTTTATTTACTGTAAAGTGTGCAAGTGTATGAGTAACTGTATCCTCTGGGAATCAAGGGCTACACAATACAATTCCAACTTGGTAAAAAAAAATCTCCATAATTCAGGAGAAACAGTGCTGTTAACACCTGTTCTTTTGGCTATACACCTTTTCTTTGAGGTGTGTGGATGTGGGAAGAGTCTAACCATTTCAAGTTTAGTAGAGTTGATTGCCCTCCCTGTCCCAATGATACTTTCTATTTTGGATATTTCAACAGTTAAATGATCACTTATTTGATTAATCACCTCTCCTACTAAAAAATGAGAATAGATTTGCATTATTTAAACTTTGAAATAGACTAAGTAATACAAAACAAACAGTATTTTCATTTTAAATGGTTTTTCTATGTATTTTCAATACACAGAACATAGTATTATATCAATAAAATTACATCTTATTGAACAATATTTTATAAACATTATCTCATTTTATTTTATTACAGACTTGCAGAGGAACTACTATTAACTACTATTAACTATTACTAAATGGCACACACTTGTCCAAGGTCTAGAAATTGGACAAATGTCAGCCATGTTTTCCTAGAAGAAGACATTTCAGGAATCTGGAAGAAGATGAAAACTTTATTTTAGCAATGGAGGACTCCCTAAATTACACTGGGTTCTGTGTCTTATCCAGAAGATAATTTGATTTTTAGGACCAGATGACTCTTCCACGTTGTAACTTCTCTTATCTAAAATCTTAGAATTAATCCCTTCTTTCACATTATTTTTACTGTTAGTAATAAAGTTTTAAATTTTAAATAAATGTAATTCAGTGAACATATATTGAGAACCTACTATGTGCCAAGTAGTAGAAAGTCCAAATATACAAGCTCTGTGTCACACAGAAACCCAAGATCTCTAAAACCTTTTTCTAAGGTCTGTAGCTTTTGCTAATTTTCACTGTATACTAACAAATTTTATTAGATTACCTCTAAAATTAAATAGTTCTGGTACTGCAACCCATTTGCAGAAAGCTAATTCAGTGAGTGATAAGACTGCATAAATTGATTCTGATTTATATGGAATGCAATCTTGATTTTTTGAAATAATATACCTCAATAATAAAGTTAATATTTTCTTTAGTTGAAACATAAAGGTGCATTCTTTACTTTTTAAGAATGCGCCTTTATGTTATGTTATTAGTACCCCCAAATTTTGGTAGTAAAAAGTATTTTCTTATAGCATATAGGAAAAAATAAGTATAAATCAATGTGTTAGAAATGCTGACTAACTTTGATTTTGGCTGAAAGAATACACTATCTTTTAACCTGGAGTTTGACAATTCTTAACAGTCCTGGAAATATGTAGCTTAGCCACTAGGAAGTTGTAGCAGATTCACTTACTCTTCATACAACCGCCATATCCACAAAAATGCTGCATAATTTAAGGTGATCCCTATCCTTATCGTGACTTTTCACTAGGGCTTTTTTTTTTTTTTTTTGGTCAGGGCTGGGTTTGAACCCACCACCTTTGGCATATGGAGCCAGGCGCCACCCCTTCACTAGGGCTTTTCAACTTCCAGCTTGTTCATGCAACTGTTTCTATATCTAAATGTAATAAAACCGTATCTAGTGACAAGCTCCTAAAAGTGGTCTGTCACTTCCATGCACATGTGGTGGGGAATGTGGTCAGAATGAGGTAGTCTTTATAGATTTCAAATTATTTCAAAAGTAATCTTATTTGGAAGATAAGAAGTAAAAGATAAAAGCAAGCTACCCTTGTTGAGAATTAGGTCATAGTACTCCAAGCCTTTCTACTGGTTTCTTCTGCCTTTTCCACCAAGGTTTCCTCGAGCATTGTTTGAAAATTACTATAAGATATAGTGAAAGGACTTCCACAAGTAGAGAGTAATGCTGTGGCTGATAGGTCCAAGGGTAGAGTATAATTTTGGCTTTTATTGCATAAAACGATTTTAGTTTGTTACTGAAATGACAATGTTTTTTAAACTTGATATTGCTTAAAGAACATTCCTGTCAATCTAAGTATGCATAATAGTTATTAAAAATCAGCCTTAAAAGTATAGTCCTGCTTACTAGTTAACAATTTAAGATAACATGGACTCAGACAGAGACAACTGATTCTCCCTTTTATTTCCTTAGTAACTTCCTGAGACTTAATACTCCCCCACCTTTCAGTTTCTTTGTTTGCATATATACTCATTAACTAGAGACAATTTAATTGTTAATGTCCTTCTCCTGCTGGGCTAGTGCTCCCTTCTCTGTCATTCTCTACAAACACTGCTCTATTTTGATTCATAATACTTAAACATGACATATGTATTTACTGTCTTCCTGCCCCCAGCTAGAATGCCTATGATTCTTACTATTAATCTGTTGAGTGAATAATTGTTCTAATCTCTGAATCTAAAATGTTATAATAGTAGGTTTTATGCAGGAGAAACCTACTATGTCAGTGGTAGCATCATCACTTTTAATACTATATATATCAATTCAATGGTTAATAAGGAAAATAATATATTATATCCAGGCATTTCCTTTCAATTTAGTTTATCAAGCATTTATTAAGCACTTATCTTATTTCAGGTACCATACCAGACACTTGGGAAATAATGCACAAAAAGTTTATGGGAGTTTGAGATGATCCTAATGAAGCCAAATGAATAGGGTCACCACTTCTACAATCAATTGTAGTCCAATTTAATGGACAGTCCAACTTAATACAATAGGATCCCTATTATTTGGCAGTCCAATTTAATACAATAGGATCCCTATATCAAACTAAGTTTAGAAGAACCACAGATTTAAACATAAAATTTTAATCTTAAAAAATAAGAAAAAAAATTAATTTTTAAAAAAAATTTTATAGTAAAGAAAGCCTTATAAAGTGTAACCCAAAACCCAAATTAAAAGCAGAAACCTCCCTCTCTCTCCATTTCCTCCCCCAAAAGGTTTCCATTAACAAAATGAAAAGACAGTCTGGGGAAAAGTAGACGCAGCTCTTATTTCAGACAAATAATTTCCTTAATGCATAAAGAGCTCCTAGAAATCAATAAAGAAAGACTAACACCCCCATAGAAAAGTAGGCAAAAGATATAAACAGCCAGTTCACAGAAAGAAAATGCAAAATGTTCAACCTCACTTATAAGGACAGAAATGCAAAGTAAAACTACCATAAATTACTATTTTTTACGTAGATTGTCAAGGATCAGAAAGTTTAATAACATGCTGTGTTAATGAAGGCAGGGAGAAAAAGTCACATATCCGTATTGGGGCATAATTGGTACAACTTTTGTGATGAGCAAAAAATCAATATCTATCAAAAATGCAAATATCCTTTAAAATAATTCTACTTCTAGGAGTTATCCTACCAGTATATATTCAAAATAATCTAAGCATAAAGATATTTGTAGCATGTAGGGGTGTTTAACCACAGCCTGCAGCTGGCTATGAATGCTAATTTGTTGCAGGAAGATGAGGCCCAATGGAGAGAAAGAGTACCCAAACATAGGGTGACCAGATTTTAACATCGGTAAGGTGGGACAACATGGCTGGGGGCGGGAGCAGGGGTGGGGCAGGGCCTGACAACAATGCAAACTTTGATAAGCAGTTCTTGATAATCACTTCTCAGCAATTATTTGTTATTATTACAGTTTAACATTATAAAGTAAACAAAAATAAAACTCATATTCTGGCGAAATAGCCACATGGCAGCTGAAAACCATATATTCCCTTCTTGTTCTCCTGCCTGTTTGTGCAAAATCGGGACTTTTTTAAAACACTGCAGGACAAATTGTTGAAAAGCAGGACATCTGGTTACCCTACCCAAACACCATGTTTATAAGAGGAAGGGTTTTATTTCAGCCCATGGGGCTTAAAGCATAGAAGAATTCAAAATGGCCACATTCCCTGACTGACTTGGTCTTTCCTTTTTTATCTCCAGTCAAAAAGTTCCAACCCATAGGTATGTTTTTCACTGGTCAGTTTGAATCAAGTGGAGAAGCTATTCCAGCCCCTACAGAAAGAACTACAAGATTTCATAGAAGCAGAAATTTCCAAGTTCCAGGAAGTTAAGTCTACAAATTCCCAAAGAGCTGAGTCACCATGGAGAGGACCCTGCGGGTGCATCCTTGTGATCAATCTCCTTGATAAGACCTGTTCTCCTGGACCTCACCCTTCTCAGGTATCTTCTCTCAATCTGAGAGTTGTCTTGGCTTACGCGTTAAATACACAAACACTAACAAAAGCTTATAAGCAAAAAAAGGTTCATGCATAATTTTTTGTGATATCTGCCATCACAGATAAGCATACGCAGACAGCCACAGGCTACAGTTGGACACCCCTGCCAAAATGTTGGCAGTGACTTAAATACTCATCAACAGAAGAATGGCAACTGAAATACTAGATAGCTGTTAAAATGTATGAACAGCTCTAAATGAACATCCAAAATACACTGTGAAGTGACAAAAAGCAAAATGCAAAAAATTATGGATTTATTTAATAAGAAGGAAGCTTAATTGCATATATACTTGTGATATGTACACTATCTCAAGAAGCATATATGCATGAGAAACCAGTAGTAAGCAGTGGTTGCTTCTCTGGAGGGAATTCTCTGCCTGCGATATGGGAGAAAGGATGGCTTCCCTCCTTTTCATCACTTTTTTAAAATATTTAAATTTTATATTATGTCAGATATGAATCACTATTTAAAAATAAATGAACAATTTGAAAGTACATTTTAAATTTCAATTTAAGGCTGAGTCTCTTAAAGAGTATGATGACCTCCTTTCCTCCCTTTTATGTTATATATGCTGAACATTTTCAAATATTAAGGTGATCACTGTCCTATTATGCAATTTCCATGCTGGCTGTTTAGACTTTCTTAAAAGGATATGTATTATTAATCTGTATTTTTCCACTTTTAACCTCTATTCTTCAAATTACTCTCTCATCAAACAAAGTAAAAATCATATATTTTTCAATTATTTTCATTGCTTTCCCTTTACTATGGAAAGATCTTTGAAAAGAAACGAAGGAAGAGAAAGGAATCAGAACCCTGCAACCTTAAGAACCTAGAAGAGAAAAGAATCCACAAAGTAGTAAAAAGAAAACAAAGAAACTTCTGGAAGAGGTATTTTCCCAACAAAACGATTTGCTAGGAAAATTTCCAAATTCCTTTATTCACAGAAGACATTTGTCTTTAGTTTTTCTACAATAATTATTTCCTTTCAGTTTTCATTCCCTCTCCCCTCCTCCCATTCCTGAGACAAACAGAGAAAGCAGGAAGTCAGCCACAAAGTGGGAGTGAATTGTGCCAGCAGGAGGCAGCTGAAAAGTTAAATGCTTTTCAGTATTTTGCAGGGATAAAGCTAAGGACAAGACTGGGCAACAACGCAAGTAGTGACAGAATGAAGAAGGTATAGGAAGAGAACACCGACCTTCAAGATTTGCTCAGTCCAACTTTGGCTCTGCCTTTCCACCCAGGTCGCAGGAGAGGATTCAGCCTTAGGTTCCACCCAGCTGCCTACACGTTCTACGGGAGGGACTTTGAACACTGAAGCCGAGACACTTGGTGTTTCTACAAAAGAAAACTGTTCAGATACCATTGATGAATATCTGAAGACTTGAATCATTCCACTTAAGTTTGGGTGATTTTCCAGGAGAAGAAAGGGTAACTCAGAAATATAAATACCGTGCAACAATTTGAATCAACTGTAAATCATTGAGATTACCATAGAACATGTGCAGCAATAATTCATTTAATGCAACTAAAGGCTAACTGATATAGATAGGTGCAAAAAATATTAACTATTACACTAGCTATACATTATATTATGCAACTGGGAAGCACATACATAGTGGTTTAACTATTGTGACTTTAGGACCATACTTCCTGGGTACTAATCCCAACTCAGGCACTTTTCAACTGTGTGATCAATTATATCTTTTGCTTAAACTTCCAGCTTTGGACTTTTCATGACAGTTGCATAATAGTACTGGATAATCAATGCAATTGATCAAATAAATTTAGATTAGTGAAATGTCACTAACTTTGTCAATCTATTCAATTTTTAAAGGTTTTCTTTATTGCAAAAAAGTAATATCAAAACACAAAATTGTGACTTGAAAATGGTTAAAACTAAGCACTTTTCTTTTGCACCTCTCATTCTTTGTACTCAATTTAGAGTAATGGATACTTTGCATGCAAATTCACTGAATTCTTTAAATCCTTCACCAGGTATTTACTAAACCCTTTTTGAGTTTACACATGATGTATCCTGAAAACAAATTACAAGACAACATGATAGAGACTGCAGGAGGTAGCACGAAATAAGTACTAAGATGGGGGAAGTGGAAAGAGACCTCAGGAGATTTAAAGTATCCCCTCTAGTGAGGGATAAGTGCAGTCGTCACAACTTTATTTTCTAATGATGAAAATTATTTTGAAAATACTTCATTAAGGGCGGTGCCTGTGGCTTAGTGCGTAGGGCACCAGCCCCATATACCAAGGGTGGTGGGTTGGAATGTGGCCCTGGCCAAACTGCAACAAAAAAATAGCTGGGGTTGTGGAGAGCGCCTGTAGTCCCAGCTACTCGGGACGCTGAGGCAAGAGAATCACCTCAGCCCAAGTGTTGGAAATTACCGTGAGCTGTGACGGCCACAGCATTATACCCAGGGCGACAAAATAAAACTCTCTCTCAAAGAAAAAAAAAATACTTCATTAAAATTCAACCTGTAAAGGCTTATAGCGCACAGAAAAGCAGAAACAAAAGACAACAGTTTGTATTGACCTTGATCATAGAAGTCAAATAATTTAAGAGCAGACACAAAAATTCCCATTTCAAATATTGAATTTATGTAAATATCACACATTATTTATATCCAGAAGGCAATCTTTGCTTTTATTCATACCAAGTTTGACTGTAAACGTAGAGTTAAGCTTATAACTATTAGTTTCATGGCAAGTAAATATCATGTGATAATATACAAAGCTCAAATGTAGAAGAAATCACAAATTGGTGGAAAGTCAGTGAGAAGTTTAGGGAGAAAGAGTTGTACACTCAACTTCAAAAAAGAGGAGCTTGTGCACTTAGTTCTCCCTTCCAACAAGTTTTTGTGTTAACTCTGTGGTCATTAAAAACCAGAACAAGGCT